AAAATATTAATAATTAGCTCCAGAGAGCATGAGCTTAATGATGATTTTCTTTTCTAATTTTTTACTTGTCTATATTCTTAGATTCTTTACACTGAATATATTTTTATCACTAGAATAAACCCAAATGTTACTAAAATACACAGAAGACCCCCATGAATTTTGTCCTACTAGTTTTAGTTAGAAATAAGATGAGGTAGAAAAAGGCCAACATATTTCATGTTCTGTCATTCATTCATTTGTTCAGCATTTATTGAGAGACTAGTATGTCCCAAGGTTGTACAACATAGAAACCCAATGTTGAGTGATGGAATCAGAAAGGTTGATTTCTGATTATGCTAAATAATTAGGGCTTGCTTCTCTAGGTTAGTGTTGTTCAAATTGTCAGTCTCAAAGTCCAGTCACAGATCTTGAAATAACTTGTCAGATTATAGCCTGTGTTAAATAAAATACAAAGGAAGAGAATAGAAAATATCAGAATACTTCACCTATACTAAGGTCAAGTATTATTTGTGAAATTTATTTTTCTTTTTATTAACTTAAAATGCTTTTTATTCTGAGATAACTATAGATTCACAGGAAATTGCAAAGAAATTCACAGGGAGTTCCTATGCACCTCTCTTTCAGCTTCCTCCAATGTTAACATCCTACACAACTGCAGTACAATCAAAACCAGAAAATTGACATTGGCATAATCCATACAGCTTCTTTGGATTTCACCTGTTTTGCACACATTCGTCTGAGTGTGCATATAGAGATCCATGTGATTCTGTTGCATGTGTGGCCTCATGTATTCACCACCACAATCAAGATGCAGAACTATACCTTCACCATAAAGCTCCCTTGTGCTATCCCCTTCTAGCTACACCCACCTGCATCACTCTCCAGCTCCTGTAAACCACCAATCCATTCTCCATGAAATATACTTTTTATTTGTGTGACTGTGTGTGCACACATGTGTGTCAAGACATAAAATATATTTCTGTGAGCTACAGTCAAAAAAATTGAAAACTATCACTGCATGCTACAGAAAGATTGAAGGCTGGGGTGGGTGGACATAGAATCATCATATTTATTTTAGAGGTCATCCTGACAAGAGTGTGGAGGATGAATTGAAAAGAAGTGTGAAGTGGGGGTAGGGGACCAGCTCTCTGCCTGCACCTATGATGAGTTACTGAGTAATGATATAGAACAATTTTCCTTCTTTCCTTTTTCCCTTCCTTCCTTAGATCATTAAATATGATCTATAAAATATGACATTTCTGTTATATAATTTATTATATATAATACATGAAATATTATTATCAAAATATTATATCATATAATGACAGCTGTATACCCACTAGTTAATTAAGATGGTGATATGGTTAATTATTTTTCACAATAATTAATTAATTTTAAAAGATTTTATTTGTTTATTTGAGAGTCAGAGATAGTGACTGAGAGCACGAGCAGGAAGGAGAGGGAGAATCAGGCTCTCTGCTGGGCAGGGAGCCTAATGCTGGGCTTGATCCCAGGACCCTGGGATCATGACCTGAGCTGAAGGCAGATGCTTAACCAACCGAGCCACCCAGGTGCCCTAATTTATTTTTCACAATAATTGACTTCATCCATATTAGCTATAGTAATGTTATGGTTCTGTTCATTGTTAGTTGTGTTTGATTTCCTTTACTATTCTTTTATTCTACACTGTGAATTTTTAAATTAAAAATACTGAGGTTGGTTGATTTAACTTGTCATTATCAGTATAGTTTGTCATTATCAATAAAGGGTAGCAAGCAATCTAAACAAAAGTCATTGTTAATGAGGAAGTTAGGACATAAGCCATTTCACAGAAAGCAGTGAATTTTGGTTCTGGTTTATTATATATCTACTCTTATGTCTTCTCTTTGCACTTTACATTGGTGGGGAGTGAGTGGACATATGGAATGTATAAAGGGAGTTTCAAGAGTACTTTGTAGGTGATGATATGAATATATCATGCTTATACTCCAGACTGGTTTTTGGTTTGTTTGTTTGTTTGTTTGTTTGTTTTGGGGGGGTCCATGCTGGGTGAAGCCACATTTGGAGGACAAAGACAAATATGACAAAAGGGACAAGCCCACTAATGAGGCAGTATGCAGAAATCTAAAAATAAAATGCTCAGGACTCAGATTTAGTGGAAAGACAGGTGTGTTAGCTAAGACACTAAGGAAAAGACATTGGCAAACTTGGGAAACCAAGGCAATCTTTGTCAAAAAGGCGGGTGAGAAATATTCCTCAGGAGTCAGTGGTGAGAATGAGAATATTTCCTAGGTCATATCATTGTTATAAGTATCAGATCTACCATGTAAATGCTGGCTTTTGGGGCACCTGGGTGGCTCAGCTGTTAAGCATCTACCTTCGGCTCAGGTCATGATCCCAGGGTCCTGGGATCAAGCCCTGCCTGCTTCTCCCTCTCCCACTCCCCCTACTTGTGTTCCCTCTCTCACTGTGTCTCTGTCAAACAAATAAAATCTAAAAAAAAAAAAAAAATGCTGGCTTTTGTTACTACCATCAAAATGCTGTTGAATTAATAAATACTGCTTTTTAAATTTTTTTTAATTTTTTAAAAGATTTTATTTATTTATTTGAGAGAGAGAGAGAATGAGAGATAGAAAGCATGGGAGGGAAGAGGGTCAGAGGGAGAAGCAGACTCCCTGCTGAGCAGGAAGCCCGATGTGGGACTCGATCCCGGGACTCCAGGATCATGACCTGAGCTGAAGGCAGTTGTTTAACCAACTGAGCCACCCAGGCACCCCTGTTTTTTTTAATTTAAATGAGCTAAGGCACATCACAGGTAGGGTAGGCGATGAGAGTATTAGAAAGGCATTCATTTCCTTTCCCTTTATCAAAAGGGTTTGTGAACTATATTGTGCACCAGCTATATAGCCACATTCTAATTCTGTTTCACATCCAGCACTGTTTCGACTAATTCCTAAGTTCCAGTCTCTACCAGCTACTCATCTGGTACATCCCTGCTCTACGTGGGAGCTCCTTTATATTTCTAAAGCTTATTGTCTGTAAAAAGACATTTTTCTTTGCTTCTTGCATTTTGACTCTGAATCCATGGTGAAATTTGAAGCATTTATCTCTTTTCTCATTAAACAATGACCTGGTCAGAGTGCCAAGATTTGTCTTAATGACGAAACCTTGCTCAGCCGTAAAATTTTTGGAGCAGTGCAACCCTGACTTCCTCACAGTCTGCTGGATGGTCTCAGGAGCCTATTCCTCCTTTGGCAGGAAATGGAGAGGAGGTCATCCAGGAGATCTTCCTGCATTCTAGTCTGGGATTCTCTTTAAGTGTGGAATTGAAAAGAAAAATTCAGGGTGTCTTGTTTCTGTATAGACAGGGCCTTGTTTTTACAGACTGAGCAGCATTATTCCCCATTTCTTTCCAAGATATTGAGTAATCACTTAAAGATATTAATTAATAGAAAATGATTGGTCAGGGGGCTGGATCTTTTTGGCAGAGTCTATAGCTGTAATCTCCAAATTCTGGAGCTATGATAAATTGGAATTCTTTCATTTGTCCAGAGGAACTGGAGACTAGGATTCTGCCATAGGTGTGTGATGCCTCATCAGAGCCCTAACTTCCCATGTGGTTAGCTCAGAGGCAACCAGAGGGCTGGCAATTATCTTGTTTCTGGGAGCTGAGTTGCCAGTTGTTTGAAAAGATTGGAGTAAAAATACCAGTGCAAAGCAATAAACACAGGAGAACTGATGGTTTGGAAGAATTGTCAGTGTATTTACTTCAGATGAAGCTTTGAACTCAGATGGTACATTAGACCCTTTCTCTCTCTTTTCAAAAAATGTTTTCTGGAAGAAATGTCAAAACTCCTAGTAGGGGAGGACTGTGAAGACAGACCCTAGCTAGCAGGTGAAGCACTTAGGCCTCCTGATCCATTGTAACTGCCAGCCCATCATGGTTGAGGAGACATTGCTGTTGCTAATAGTCAGGGGAGGTGGGAAGTTGATTATGACACCTGTTAGTCCTGTGCATGCATTGTTCTACTGTTCTTTATCTTTTTTTTTTTTAACTGTTAGTCTGTGATAGCATGAAAAAGGACTATGAGATTTGGGAAGGTGAAATAATTACCAGCTTTGGCACAAGTGTGATGACCTCTGTTCTATCAAACTAATAGATGCTGTATATGATGTTCATGATTGGGTTATATGGTCCACTTTCCAGACAGATGCAAATAACCAGAAATAGAAGCTAAATGCTGTGCAGAACTGGGGCAATTCTGGTTGTCCCTGGACTCAGTGCTTGTGGTGCTATCTTAATGAACTGTGGAAGTCAGAACAATCAAATCTTTAAGCTGTGTCCAATTTCTCTTAAGAAGAGAGACAGCCTGAGGCAAAACGCCTCAGGTTTCAGGAGGAAGAAGCTAAGCATGTAAGGGAGGATCATTATCATCAGGGAAAGGAGAGGTGACACTGAGCCTGTCACTTGCCTTGCCCAAGCAACCTGGGGCTGTGTCAATGTGAGGGAGGGGAAATGAGCCTATTACCTTTGAGAAGCTAGCCAAAAACTTTTTTTTTTTTTTGCCTAAAATATCCTAAAAATGGAGCCGATGATGAACTGAGGAAAGAAGCAGAGTTTGGGAAGAGAGAAGCTCATATTAACTGGGTAACTGAATTAATTTTTACTTGGGGGACTTGGTTGTGTGCGTGTGCATGTGTGTGTGTGTGTGTGTGCATGCGTTCATGCATATTTAATGTTTGGTCAAAAAAAGGTGCCCCAAACCATAAAATAGACTCTTAACTGTAGAGAACAAGCTGACGGTTGCTGGAGGGGAGGCGGGCAGGGGGTGGGTTAAATGGGTGATGGGTATTAAGGAGAGCACCTGTGATGAGCACTGGGTATTTCACTAAATTCTACTCCTGAAACTAATATTACACTATATGTTAACTAACTTGCATTTAAATAAAAACTTGAAATAAAAAAATGTGCCCAAAGTGGTACTACAAAGGTAATTATGTAAAATTTTTTATGTTTAAAGGACTTTATGTACAAATTTGCTCTTTTAAAGGGTACATAATTTGAATATTGGCTCAAGTGCATTTTTATTGCTTTTCCAACATTTGTATTCCCCAATAAATATTTTTCTCTTAAATTGGAATCCATGCATATGTGAAATACTCTCACATATAAATCACATTCTATTTTTATTTTGGGAAAATATAAAATATTTTTACTACAAAATAAGCAAAGAAACTGTATTAAAATGAAAACTGGGTAATATAAAGATTCAAGAGTCACCTCATGGTGAATTTTATCATTTGTTAAATATCCCTCTCTTGGTAAGACTCAGCTTTCGACATTGGTTTCTATTTTGTACAGTGTTATTTATATTACAACATTGTGCTTTTTTTGTATTGTGGTCTAGAAATACCATGCTTCTCCCAGTTGATTTTGAGAGGTAATCTTCTGACCCAGTCTCTAAGATATGCTATCTAAAACATGCCTCCAAATATGTTTAAAGTTATAAAATAGAAATAGGTCAAAAATAGGATGATGCTACATTTTTCTGTCTTTGAATGAAAATATGTCACTAATGCATGTTTCATTACTCTCTGAGTTACTTGATTAATAAAGATACCATTTTCTCCATTAGCCAGAATAGAATGTGGAACTACAAAATATTTATATAAAACTTAAAATTATCATTCTTTCAGATGAAGTATGTCAACAACTAACACTCATATCATGTTGTTCTAAATGCAGCCCGAAGAGGAATCTTTGGAGTATCTCAACTTAGCATTTTGAAAACTTTTTAGTATCAGGGGCATCCAAATGAAAATTATCTTTCCGTTGAATAACCATCCATTTGTCTTCCCATAACCTCTGAACTTTTTGGTCTTCAGTTCCTTAACATAGACACCCACATCACTAAATAGCCCCTCAGCTCCCAAGCACTTTAGCCTCTTGGGTCCCCCTCTGTACTGGCAGTCATTCTTACTATGTGAGAATAGTCTTCTGTTTCCCACTCTTTCCTCAATAGTAAGGTCAAATTTCAAGTCCACCCTCTAAAAAAATATTTTCCTGCTTACACATTAACTTAGCTTCTTTTTGATCCCATTCCTGCAGAAATTGAATTTGGTCACATTACTCCTAGTATGTTGTAAGATTCTAGAGGAGAATTTGCATTATTTTACATTCTGTACCTGTTGAATGTGGCAACTTTTAGAAGTCCGTGATTCATACAGGACCATACTTAGGAGTGATGATTTTCTTATCCCTTCCCCCCAACGAAACTGCTCATATTTGTGCACATGTGAAAACAAGAGGCTCACTACAGGAAAGCTGAAAGGGGACAGTGTGTCTCACATGACTTGCCTGAAGGACCTCTGGGAAGAGGGGGTGTCACCAGTGGGGTTTATCAGTTGATTGTGTGTGTACTTCTATGTTTAGCAGAGCATGACCTCCTCTCCGCATGGGCAGCCTCTCTGTAGACTCCACGGATAGAGTCACTATCCAGCCACAGGCAAGAGCAAAAGGTCAAAATCCCCTAGGCTGAGCTGCCTCTCTCTGCTTCTTATCCTATGGTTGCCTCTGATGACAGTCTACCACTCAGCAGCGTTTCTAAAATGGCATTGGATAATTAAGGAGTTCACTGTGGAACATTTAATAATTTAAGATATTGTCTCTAAATCTAGAGGTGCTTGTATGCTTGGGAAATATTAATTGTTAGCATAATTTGGCAATTCCCAAAAGTGTACACGGTAAATCAGTAACCTCATTGTCTTCACCAGAGTTGTTCTGCAGGTGAAATAATGTTGTAAACATGGCACCATAACATGGTGTTTTAGGGCGTTTGGTGGAGAGAAGAGAAGAGATATGGTGAGACTGATAGATGCAAATTGTAAAATGGAGTTGTGCTCTTTTAGCCTGTCTATAAGACTGTGTGTTGTGAAAAGAATATTTGGTTTGAGGTAAAAAATTGCTTTAACTACTTGCTTTATGATTTGATGCAAGCCATCTAATCTCTCTTTCCTCCAGTCTCCTTATCTATAAAATGGGGGTGAGAATAGTACCTGCTCAAGTTGAATAACAACTAACAGATTTAAGAGTTTATTATGTGTCAGGCAGTGTTCTAATAGCTTAATATTATTAACTCCTTTCATATTCAAGACCACACAGTCAGTATCAGTATTACACCCATTTTACAGATGTGAAAACTGAGGCACAGAGAACAAGTGACTTGTAAGTGGTAGAATTATAATTACTCAGGACATCTGCTCCAAAACCAGGAAGATATACCTATTCTCCAATGCATTTCACAGGATGGTTTTTCAGGTCAAATTGTTTCTTTAGTTCTGATGTAAAATACAAATATTAGATGTTATAGTATTCAGGATGATGTAGATTTAAACATATACCATTCTTTTACTGGCTTTTACTGGCTAGTGTGTAGTTGTGTTTTGAGGGGTTTGATTTGACCCATGTTCTATTCAAATCCATGGCATAATAAACCATGCATTAATAGGATTATAAACTTCCTGAAATGTAGAGATGAAAGAGCAAAAGCAATCTGCACATTAGAGATCAAGGTTAAACCTTTTTCAGCACTCAGATTGTATCTTTTTTGTTTCAGCCAGGGACAGCTTGAGAAGCAGCTGGGGTAGAGTTATTAAGAACAGGGCTTTGAACCTTGGCTCTGCCACTATTAGCTTCAGGATAGTTGGGATATCACTTGTTCTCTGTGCCTTGGTTCTGTATTTATAAAATGTGAGCAATAGTGTTACCTTCTTTATAGGTTGTGATAAGGATTAAGATAATATGTGACCAGCATTTGAAAGTGTATCTGGCACATTGTGAGCTCTTTCTATAGATATTAGCTATTATTATTCAGGCTCTCCCAGAATATACTTTCTTTTCAAAATTAGTAGAAACCACATCTAAAACAGGCAGACAGAGGCAGATTTTTCCCTACTAGGTGTGTATGAGGAAGGGAAGTATGGGAGACAGAGGAGTGAGCGAGAAAATGTAAATGAATATATACTATACATGAACTAGGCAAAAACTCATAGACAGAGAGAGACAGTAGTGACTTGGCAGGGAAAAATGGAAAATGCATTCTGGGGAAGATCTGAAACTCCCAGTGGGAGATATGAAAAGGAAACCCAGAAGGCAAATGGACATGCCTCTGGCCTCTCTCAGGCCAGCCTGGTCCTCACTCAGACGCAGGTATGAGCTGATATGGAAGGCAGGTATCTGCCACAGGCTAGAGACTGGGGAATGCAATTCTAACTCATTCTCTTAGAGCTATGGAGACACTATTTCTAGTGCATTTTTCTTTATGTCAGCAACATTGTTCAGGATAGACGTTCAGGGCCCTCTAAAATAAGCTTATTTTTTCATAGCAGGCACTATCTGAGCTGAGCATATCTCCAAATTCAGCAGGATGGTTTCTGTGTGCAGCTGTAGCTTACATTTCTTAGCATGGTTACAAGTGTCAGAAGTACTCCTCAAAAGATATTTCTTTATTAGCATCCTATTGTTAGTAGTTTGGATTCAAGGCATTGAAATAGTCTCAATCACATCACATTTAAATAAAAATAAAGAAAACATACAATCAAAGAGGATGAGGAAGAAAGTCAGCTGGAAATAGTGAACCAGTTAAAAAATGTGTCTTAACCTCACTGATATGAGGAATTCTTAATCTCAGGAAACAAACTGAGGGTTGCTGGAGTGGTGGGGGGTGGGAGGGGTGGGGTGGCTGGGTGATAGACATTGGGGAGGGTATGTGCTATGGTGAGTGCTGTGAATTGTGTAAGACTGTTGAATCACAGACCTGTACCTCTGAAACAAATAATACAATATATGTTAAAAAAATAGTAAGAAGATAGCAGGAGGGGAAGAATGAAGGGGGGGAATTGGAGGGGGAGACGAACCATGAGAGACTATGGACTCTGAGAAACAAACTGAGGGTTCTAGAGGGGAGGGGGGTGGGAGGATGGGTTAGCCTGGTGATGGGTATTAAAGAGGGCACATTCTGCGTGGAGCACTGGGTGTTATACACAAACAATGAATCATGGAACACTACATCAAAACCTAATGATGTAATGTATGGTGATTAACATAACAATAAAAAATAAAAAATGTGTCTTAGGAGAAATTTTAGCATTAATCGTTTTCAGTACAAGAGACAAATTCATCAAGAGTTTTAGACCATATGAATCTTACTAGACCTGCTTTACTGAAAATATTATGATTTTTAATTTTGCACAATTAATGTCTGTGAAAACAATCACATTTTAAATGTAATCTTATTCATATCATTGACTTGTTTAATGAATTTAAATTGTAAGTCTTAATGATTATCACACTTCTAGATAGAATCAAATTAATATGCTTTTATGTTTTTAAAAAAGTGGTCAGTGCTTCTGTGTAGCAGATGGCTTAAAATAAACAGATGATGAATCATTTGTGATTAGTTTTCTGAAATGCCAAGTTTTTCTTAAAGTTTTATATGTGGTTGGGGGAAAGGATGAAGGCCCACAATGACTGGATTCAGAGTCCTGGCTCTATCAGAGTAAACCTTCTGAGCCTTAGGTCTCCTTATCTGTAAAGTGCAAGTCTGAGGGTGAAGGTGAGAGAGTGTACATAAAAGAGCAAGCACAGTTCTTGATACCTGTTAGGTACTTAAAAGATGGTGGTTATTGTTAGTAGTCTAGTGGTTTTATAATCTGCGCACAAATTGTTTGACTCATCTCCCTTCAGAAAGTGGAACCTGATTCTCCTCCCTCTGGCTGTGGAGTGGACTTGGTGACTCACTTGTAATTAATAGAATGTGGTTGTAGTGATGATGTGTAATTTCTAAGACTAGGTCCTAAAGAGGAGACTTTCGCTGTCAGCTGCCATGTTGTAATGATGTGCAAGCAGTCTGTGGAGAAGTATGCATGGAGGAGCCAGCCTTGGAGAGAAACTGAGATCTCTTGCCAATGTTCAGTTCCAGCTTGCTGGCTGTATGAGTGAGCTGCCTTAGGAG